ATCAGTTCAGTAGGATAGATTAAGGAAGTCTTATCTTATCTTATCAGTTTAATAGGATAGAGTAGTAGATTAGCAAGGAGTCTTCCTAAAAGTAGGATTCTACCTCTTGTAATCTCCTATTTAAGGAGCTGATATTATTCAATAAACATATCGAAAATTTCAGTCAAGAAAGAGAGCAAAGGAGAGTTGATCTCTTGAACAAATCACCTTTTTGGGCGGCAAGATAGGTTCTTCAAGAAAAGGGAGGAACAAGGGAAAACAGGAGGTTTTCCCCGTGGATCGACCCGTGACGAGATCCTATTCGCGGGCCCATAACAATACCAAGTTGTTATGGGCCCGGGCGTAGGATCTCATCACGGGTCGGTCCACAGGGAAAAGCTCATGTTTTCCCTTGTTCCTTCCCTTCCTAACTGAACCTATCTTGGCGTCCTAGAGGGTGATTTGTCCAAGAGATCACCAAACTTTCCTTTTACTCTCTTTCTTGACTAGAAATTTGATATCTTTATTCAATAATATCAGCTCCTTAAATAGGAGATTACAAGAGATAGAATCCTACTTTTAGGAAGACTCCTTGCTAATCTACTACTCTATCCTATTAAACTGATAARATAAGATAAGACTTCCTTAATCTATCCYACTGAACTGATAAGATAAGATAAGAACTGTAATTAGATAAGATAAGACTCCCTTAATCTATCCTAYTGAACTGATAAGWTAAGATAACTGAATAGATAAGACTCCTACTAATCCTTGCTACTGAAAGCAGATAAGGTAAGAATACAAGAATACTGAATAGATAAGATAGGATGATAACACTAAATTGCTGCTGCTGAGAACACTAAATTACTGTTTTTACTGCACTAAATTACTGCTGCTGCTGCCGGCGCCCACATCAAAGCCAAACACAGTAATAGTAGAAATCCAAATTTAGCAGCTTATAGAGTCTGGATTACCAAAGCCAAATAGCTAGATAGCTGGGCCGAACATTGGGCAATGACCTTTTTCTTAAAATGCAAAAAATTAAAAATAGAAAAGCAAACAACTTTCATGAATAAGTTACCTTTCTCTTGATATACTCTGCCATGGCTTTCTCAAACTCTGCTCTCTTTTCAGTGGCAATGTCATAGTATTGAACTATTTCCTGATAAAGGACCAAAAGAAAAACTTAAGATCGATGCCAAGATTTCTTTCCCTTGCTTCTGTTAAGCTTACAGGATAGAATTACTTTGCATACAAAAGAAATGATAAAGCCACTTCACAGATGGACAATTAAGCATTGTAAAAGAGAAAAGAGTTTTGCTACTGGTTAGAAACATGGGAAACTTCAAGCCTAGAAACTCTCTAGTAATTGTAATCTCCAATATTTTAGTAACTTGTACGTTAATGTGTTCTGAGAATTGGAATACTATCATAGAGAAGGTTGAGACAAATCAAATCATGAATCTATCATAACCTGTAAAATCTTTTTTTTTTTTTTTCTTTGATCAATAACCAAGGTTTCACTAACCTTAAAAAGCAAACCAAGGTACAAACCAGATTACAATTCAGGTTATAATAACCTGGACCATCCATGGAATTACAATATAGCCCAGAACATATGATCCCTTGACACTCCTAGCATGGCAACACAATCTGGCAAGCTATTTGCAGACCGTTTTACCCAAAAGGAAGTAGCATCAATCTCCCTGGTTATGCACATTATCTTCCTTAAAGTTTGTCTATGTGTCTAAATTTGATTACCACCCTGTAACCAAGATATTACTAGTTTCAAAACCCCTTCAACCTCCATTCTTCCAATGTTTAACTGTTTTACGAGCCTCAAACCAAACAGCAGAGCCATAATTTCTGCATTTAGGGAGTCCCCAACCCCTAAAGGACCTGAGAAGAAAGCCAAAATCAATCTATTTCCATCCTAACTGCCCCTCCAATCCCAAATGAACCAGGGTTCCCTGTGAGCTCCCATCAAAATTCAGCTTTACCCTGCTGTTAGTAGGAGGTTTTGATTTGCACTTGGTGACTGATTGATGAAAAAGCATCTATTACTCCCCAAGCTCTCAAAATCATACACTGTGAAGCCCTCGAGTATCTCCAATGTTTCTACCCAATGCACCACTTTTATTGTGATGCTTTCTATGATTGCTTTCATTGTTCTGTTGACTTCATTGAAGCTCTAGCATTCCTTTCCTCCCAAATAGTCAGTCCATACTAAAGCTGCTCTAGTAGCCCTCCACATTCATAACTGTAAATTTATTTGTTTTTCAGAAACTTATCAATATATAGGGTCAGCTACATGAATCCTGTTTTTCCATTCCCTTGTTCCACCCCTACTTAATCCATATCTACCATATACATACCTAATACAACAGAGTTTACCACTTATACATTAGAACAAAAGATGATAATCAAGCATGACTTGAAAGAAAGTCAATAAATGATTCTTTAACCTACATATGATAGAAAATTAAGTCAATAAGGTTTCTAATTAGGCCTTCATTAGTCTAAATAATCTAATTCTAGTAAAGGGTTTAAAACAAAGGCCCTTCAAGAAAAAAATAAAAAGAAGAAGCTAAAGCATAGAAATGACAAATTTGAAAACTAGGTTCCAATTTTATTAATTCAAATAACATGAACCATATAATTTATAAGATTCAAATGGTGATCGTACAATTTTCTCAGAAAAGCATCATACGTGGATTCAAATCAGAACCCTTGCGGTTCACAATTTAGATTGTAAATGGTATTGTAAATCACGAGATTTTGGCAACTACTTTTAGCTTGAGGGTTATTAGAAATTTTGAGGTTATGCCCAGCACCTCAACACATGCCTATCTTATAAAACTAGTTAGCATATCCTCTAACCATATCTTCCGGATGCCTTAGGATCTAAAGTTTCTGTTTAAGGGCATAAAATGGGTTCTCATCAGTCTGCATCTTTTACAATGTAACCTTATTTTTTTATCTGAACATGCCACCACCACAACAATGCCTAGGTCTTCAACAAAGTATCCACCAGTTTATTACTTTTAGCAAGATATCTTCACCATTAATACATGGAACTTTAACCTAATCTGGGAAATGTATTCTTCTTGATCACAATTTAAGGTCCAAGTTCAAGTTCAAGTCAGTGCAGCTTCAAGTCTGCATCTAAATCTTTCAACTTGTACTTCCCAAGAAAAGGAGATAACAAGGTTCTAGTTGGTAAATCTGGGTTGTGGTTCTTTGGCTTCTACCATATCCACCTTTATCTATAAAGCCCCAGGTTACGGCTATTGGTAGAGTCCAATGGATTGCTTTTTTTCTCCAATCAGTACCAGATCAAAGAAATTTATTAAGATGAAAATATCAGAGGAATACAATCATTTGGTCAAGATTGTCCAAGCAATAAAAAAAAAAGTGTCTTACAAAATGAGGCCAGCTAAATAAAAGAAAAATACAACAAAAGCATCCAAAGAAGAGTTCCTGAATACAAGTCTCATTTCTCAAATACTCTTCCTAAACCATCAGCTAGTGAGTTTTCCAATCTCCATAGCCAACAAAATAATATGCCCACTATAGATGCCAAAGTTCTCGTTTCTCCTAGACCCTTAAATCAGCATTTACAATCTAAGAGCTTAAAGTGTCCACATATTTCCTAATACTTCCATGACATTTTTCCATTTTTATGGGTACCGACACAAAATATTGAAATCAATATATTAACCAATGAAAACTATGAGCACTATGTGGAGTACACAAGATGGTATTATAACATAAGTTGGTGACAATGTTGTATATGTGTAGAGTAGTAGTATTTTTGACTACCTAATAGAAATAATTACACTTCATACTAGCTCAAAATTCTTTTCAGATGTGAAGTTATAATTAGTTTTTTTAGCTAGGGCAGGGGTGGAAAAAAAAAACAGCCTGAATGGGGTTGTCCACAGCCAGGTTTTAATCTCTGTAATTTGTGTTTTTTGCTTTTTCATAATAATTCTGTATTTTAGAACTCCTTGTGATAGGAGCTGGGTTTGTATCTTTGATAGCCTGCTTGTACCTGATTAAGCCTGCTGCTATCTTCTGAGCAGTGGAGCAGTTTTCTTTAATGAAACTTTAATATTGCTTATCAAACAAAAGGAAAAAAAAAAACATAACTTAGTTTTTGTTTGTGTAACAGATTATTTGGTTGATATATTAGAAGCATTTGCACTTTCTGAGTTTAAATTTTGATTGAACTCACTCTATTCTGTAGTTTTGACTCTCAAGTTTACATGACAACTTCACAGCGTATTATTTTGTCTATTAACTTTAGTTTCTTAGCTTTGTTTGATTATTTGGAATAACATGATAATTTAAAGGGTATACTTATGCTTCTTTTATCATTCCATATAACATTGTTCTGTATTTTCACATATTTTACAATGTTTCTACCATTTTTATCATTTTTACACTATTTCGATATGACACTTCCGACATGTTTCCCATATTTGGATGACCAATATTTCCACTGACAAACATTCCCTCTCAACATCCACTTCCCAATCAATCATTTGCATCACCTAAATATCAGACTTCAAAAGGCTTGTTTGGAAAACAATTCATAGTACCTTAACCAATTAGCCATTGCATCTTCTCTCCTAGTATTCAGTAAAAGGATGGGAAAACTCTCTATAATAAGTATATTTCTAAATGGCAGACAAAGATACTTCAGAAAGAAGGGTCTGTCAAATCATGTCCATATTTGAATGGAATGAAATTGCTCAAACCAGAGGAATTTTTTTAAGAATGTTTCCCCATATGTGTAATGGACATATCCACAGACCTCATCCACATGTTCTTTGTATCCCTTCTTATTGGCAATGACTTCAACAATTGTAATCTCACAACCAAATCTCCATAGGCATTTGCTTAATAATGCTTAATTCATCAATTCAAGGGAACAGATTCCTATACCACCTCTCAGAACAGCAAACCTGGCACCAACCAACCAAATGGGATTTTCTTCTTTTTCAATTGGACCTTTCCCAAGGAGATACTTATATTGTACAGACAAATCTGTCATTCTGTTATGGTTGTGAGAATATTAGGTTGATCACAATGTTTGTCATTGAGCTGAACCACTAGCTATGAGGTGCCCTAGCAACAATACTAACATGTATCCATGTCCTGGTAACACTAGATACATATAGAAATGCACAATTGCACTTGCTATAATTTGCCATTGTGGCACGTGATTTGCCTTCTACTCTATTAAAGAAATAAAAAGTGTTTCACTTCATGTAAAAGAAACAACTTTTTGATGGTCTGGCCAAAGATGATGTAGATAGAAGCTCCTATTGGGATCATTTATGGGATAGAAATTCTATGTGCCTTTCTTTTAAATGATATTTGTTCCAGCGCAAAGGGACCTCATCTACAACAAAACAAAATAAGGATGCAAGGCAGGCTTATTTTGCCTTATTTTGCAACAATCTGCAAAAATAACATGCAAAATAGAAGGTCTTATCAAACCAAAAGGGACTAGCAGCAAAAGAAAGAGAATGCAAACCAGAAGAAATCTACCATGTTCTGAAACATTAATTACTTGGCATTTCATTATCTATACTGCTCTAGCCAATTCAATGACACATAGTTAAAATGCAATTGAAACCACCAACAACATCAATACAAAACCAAATACACAAAGATGGCTAATAGTTGAAAAGAAATAATTGAAACTTTGAGGGATCAACTAAACCTCATAAGTCATCGTTTTCCACTTCTCCCCACATGCCTTGCCAATCTGAAGAATGAGAGACATAGAGTGCATGACTTTAAAGTTAAAACATAAATAAATAAATACAATTAACAGATCAAATTGATATAAACATCAAAGAAACAAATAAGGATAATGTAGAACATACATCACGCATTGACTTGACATCTGGATTTTGTTCCTGGTATTCCTTCCGAAAATCCTCCCTTCGAAATCATAAAAATGTTTGGTCAAAATCCATCATGTGATGAAGGCTTTATGGATTATACCACTGTATAGAGATACTCATCAACTTGCGCATTAACAGTGCAATGGAAAGAAATCCTGAATTGCGATGGAAGGGGTAAAACTCAGGAATAACAATGGAAAGAAAAAATAACATGAGTCATCTAATTCAACTCATGATATGTTAATATTGAAGCTTCTTCATTCTGTGCACCAGAGGTAAGTAGGGCACAGCCACCAGGCTATTCTTAAGAACAACCAAGGAGATTTGGAATGCCATAAGTGGTTGTACATAAAGGACCTGTACAATGGGAATATATAAAAAGTATAATATATATAGTATTGAAACAGCAACTCAAATATTCATGCCAAAACATCTACTATAAGGTATTCCCTAAATAATTTATGTACTGAAAGCCAGGAAAGCAAAATTCCTTTGATTCTTCCCTGTACCTCCATCTCTGAGTATGATTTTTTCTTTTTTGATTGGTCATCTCTGAGCATGATGTGTTCCCAAAAACTCTAGTGTTTCTCTTGGCTCATAAAAAAACAGAATAGTGAACAACCTTCCCTTCTCTCTCTCTCTCACACACACACATTTTCTATATTCTTCTCCACCATCATCTTCTTCTCTTCGTTGCAACCACCTCCCTGTTTATTATCTCCACCACTGAAATCGATACACTGTTCACCTTCATCTTCAACCTCTCGACTGTGAACCCCGCGGTATCTTTTTCTCCCCGACCTCTTCTCAACCGAGCAACCTCTTCTCATTCTCCTATTCTCTCATTTCTCTCTCTCTCCCTCTCTCTCTCTCATCTCTCTCTCTCGACCAACAGGGGATCGGAAAACCAGCACTGTTCATTCTTCGGTTTTTCAAAAATTTCAAATCGAAACCGATCCGATCGGTTCGATTAACCGCATTTTACGGTTCGATTTTTCACGGACATCTCTAATTGCCACGTTTTGAAGAAGTGTTGATTTAACGATTGCAATTAGCTTCAATATTTACTTAATGGGGAGAAACATAGTAGAGATTAATTAGCTATGTACCGGATAGTTACGATTAAGTTGATATCGTTTTAATTACGAGAATGATTCTCACATTGTGTTGGTAGTAAATATTTTCCTCCTTAGGTGGGTGCTTAACCTTCTCCCGTTCTAGTTTAATTAATTAGTAAATGATTTTTATACTGCTTTCTTTTTTTTTTTTTTTGTTATGTGTAATTCTATAGGATGGAAATTGATTTTCCCTTAATGGCATTGGACCACCATCATTCCCATTCATGTGCATATCATTCACTTCAGTTAGTCTAAGTTTTTTTATCCTTAATTTGATTTTGAATAATTTTCTCCTTTTTCTATTTTAATCTTGTCTGTTTATTTATTGTATAATTACCGTTTTGTGTTTTATGATGATTCTCATCTTTCATCGGGAGCTTCTATATTGTTTGTTTTGGATTTCTCCATGTGAACCCCACCTATCATACAAGGGAGAGGGGTGCCTAATCCCTTCCCTCTCCCACAAGTCTTACCTAGGCTGGTTAGATCAGTACCTCAGCCTCAGGTATGGAATCACTGTTTGAGCCAAAATGATTTTATGTATAAATAAATTGGGAGACCCATCATTCCCAATTTACATCAATGATGGGTGGTGACTCCAGATCACCCCCAAATGAGCTGTTTTCCGACGTTCACAGCTCTACTTTTGAATTTTGATCCCTCGCTATATATGAGGGCAGAAAACATAATTTGAACTACTACTCTCCACTTCATTCAACTTCCTTTCATTAAGTTCTATATTTAAGATATTAATTCCCATTCTACCTCATTAAATCATATATATATATATGGTATTTTATATTTTTCACTAATAAATCCTATTGATTAAATATATAATATTAATCATATTCAAGAAATAAATAAGTAACACAAAAAAGTTTTTATTGATGATATTTAATAATTTAAAAGTGACCCCAAAATGAAACCATTTCTTCCAATTAAGCCAAATGGGTTACTTGTGATGCCATAATTAAATAATAAAAATTAATATATATAATATATAGCACAAAAAATTACTGAAATTTACGAAAATTGTATAGAAAACATTTTGGTATATCCTCAATATTATATATTCTTCATATTACAGAAAAACAAGTGTATTAAATAAGAATTATATTTATTAATGATGAAAGTAGAATACAAGGTTTTAAGCCAACTTGAAAACAAAACTGCTTTTCCATGTAGATGGTGAGTAATAGTCCAATAATTTGCATCAACTGGATCAACCAATGATACTATAATTAAATAATATAATATTTACAAATAGATATTACAATAAATATAGGAAAAGTGTGCACATCAGATTTAAAACCAACCAAAACAAAATTGTTTTTTTTCAAGTCAAATAAGTCAACCCATGATTTTATAACTAAATAATAAAATTTAAAAGATAGAAGTAAAAAACAAAAATTTGTAGAAAAAATTGGATGCATATATAATATTATATATTCATCATATCATATTAAATAAAAATAAGTATATATGATAAATAAGAAGTATTTTTATTAACGATAAAAGTAAAAAAGTACAAATATACAGAGTCTATAAATTAAAAACCCAAATAAGGTTAGGTGGAATTTGAAAACCCACTACAACACTTGCAATCCTTTTCCACATCCCAATGTCATATCATCCTTTCTTTTAAAAGCAATGATATGGCGGTCCCCTTTCATGTCATTGCGTTCTAGGCATTGTCTAACAATTTTGGCAACCTGGAAAAACATATGCTATTAAATATCCTTAGGATGTTGACCATTCTTGATCCTTAAGGCCGTGTTTGGTTTGAAAGAAAAGATGGGGAAAGGAAGGGAATGACAGAGAAATCAATACAAGGTATAGGTTTCCCTACCTTTCCCTTTCTTTCCCTTCATTTTCCTTCAAACCAAACATAACCTAAATAACTTGAAGATATGCTAAGTGGAAGACCTTGCATGTGCTCAATATGAGGAATGTCTTCAATGTCGGTAGAAAGGGAGAGTGCTAGTAAAGTTCTATTAGACCTATGTGGTTGCAAAGGGAGTCCGACCCATTGAAAGGAAAAGAAACCAATATAGCATGTAAAATACTCCCAAACTATTATTAATGATTTTCGATATGGATCCGTTTCTTTGTCATTCATGCAACACATCTTTGAATTTATTCACCTACATTGAGACCCACTCCCACAATCAAGTCATTAACTAACATTTAAATCTATTTCTTTTGTCTTATAACAAACTGTGAGAAGAATGAATTATGAATGAATTCGCATTCCTCCAAGGAATTTGATACGATACACAGACAAGCACATAGGTGAGCTGAAGTGGTTGTTCACTCCTCGTGAATTATAACAAACTAAAACAAATTCTAACTAATTCTGTTATTACCCCCCTAGGGATGGATTCGAGCCGAGCCAAGCCAAATAACTAGCTATTCGAGCTCGGCTCGCTAAGGCAACACGAAGCTCGAGCTTGGTTCAAGCTAGAACCTTGAACTCAAGCTCGGCTCGAGTCAAAAGCTCGTAAGCTCAAGCTCGACTTGAGAAAAATGTTTTATAAAAATAAATATATATATATATATAACAATTTTATTTGATATTTAAAAAATTAAGAATTATAATAAGTAGTTATTATTATATATAAAATTAAAAATATTATTTTCTATAATTTTATATTATTATTATTATTATTATTATTATTATTATGTAGCTATTCGAGCTCGGCTCGCAAGCTTCATGAGTCGAGCTTTATTAGGCTTGAGCTCAGCTCGACTAACAAACGAACCTATAAATTGGGCTCAAGTTTGGCTCGAAGCTCAGTTGAAACCGAGCTGCCCAACTCATGAGTTAGAGAGGAAATTGATCTACACTCGAAGCTTTTGTGAGAAGATTAGCAAGTTGATCTTAGCTTGGAAGATGATGAGTAGCAATCTCTTTTTTGGCAATATGTTCTCGTATAAAATGACTATTTATCTTGATGTGTTTGGTGTGCTTGTGATAGACTAGGTTGTTGGCTATTTGTAAGGACATTTGGCTGTCATAGAAGAGATGCATTGGAGTATTTACAAAGATGGTGAGATCAAAGAGTACATGCTCAACCATATCAATTTTGTTGCAACTACCATGGCATGGTATTCTACCTTGGTGGAAGATCAGGAAATTGTACTAGGAGAGTATGGAATCACCTAACATGGTAACATAACCTTTTGTAGACCACCTGATTAAAGGACATATGGCCCAATCTGAATCATAGGAGGCTTTGACAACTAAGTCAGTTATAGAGGAGAGGAAGATGCCATGAGCTAATGTCTGTTTTGAAGGAAAAAGTAGGGAAAGGCAAGGAAACCTATACAATATTTGTAAAGGCTTCCCTACCTTTCCCTTCCTTTCCCTACTTTTTCCTTCAAACCAAACATAGCATAAGTGTTGACCCATGGATGGGGATGTGAACAGAGTAATGGAGTTCCAGCCTTGTAACAGTAAGGTACACAAGATAGCCTACAAGTCTTTGATACTATGTAGGATCATCCAAGAGATGACTAGAGGAACCATGAAATTGACATTGTTGCTCCATAGGTGTAGGGCTAGGTTGGCATTCAGCCATGCCAATATCTTGTAAGAGATCCATGAGATATTTGTGTTGACATAAGAAGATGCCTGATGAGGAATGACTAATTTCAATCTCCAAGAAATAGGTAAGAGCTTAAAGTCTTTGATGCAAAAACAAGAACACAAATATTCCTTTAAACTTTGTATATGTGAGGGCTTGTCACCAATGATTATAGGATCATCAACATAGACAAGTACTGCAATGTATGCATTAAATTGTTGATAATAGAATATAGAATAATCAATTATTGATTGAGAAAAACCATATTGTTTGATAGCAATGGAAAATTTTTCAAACCACATCCTTGAAGCCTACTTAAGGCCATAAAGTGATTTGTGCAATCGACACACCATGTTTGGTTTTTGCTTGTAAAATCCTTGGGGAATCTTCATGTAGACTTCTTCATGGAGGTCTCCATTAAGGAAAGTATTATTCACATCAAGTTGGTGTAATGACCATCCCTTAACAGCAACAATCGCAAGAAGACATCGGATTGTTACAAGTTTAGTTACTAGGTCATATGTATTATGATAATCAAAATCAAGGCCCTCCACTTGGGTATATCCCTTGGCCACAAGATGGGTCCATTGTTTTAAAAGGCTTAAGCCTTGAGGCATGAGGTGTATGCCTTGAGACGAGGCACACAAATTTTGCCTCAAGGCTTAAACCTTAAAACTTTGATGTGAGGCTTAGGCGTTTGTCAGAATGAGGCGTAAGCCTCAAGCCTTAAAGTGTGAGGCATAGCTTGAGTCGTAAAAAAGGCGTAAGCCTTAAATATCAATGATTAATTAGTGATTTAATGCAAAAAAAATTATGTATTTTCATAATTTAAAACATATAGAAAAAACACTTCAATAATTATGGACCAAATAAAAAAAGTAAAAATGAAAAACTAATAAGGCAAATCAAATTCTATTAGTTTTTCTTAGTGTTTTAGGATAGTTCAATACAAAAATGACTAATTAAGTTCTAACTTTCTTTTGAATAAATTGTCAGATTTTTCTTATTATTCTAAATGTAATGTCCCAAGTTTGTTATTTTTCTCATTTCTTCTCCTAATTGATTTTTTTCTTAATAATAATAATAATAATAATAATAATAATAATAATAATAATAATAATTATTATTATTATTATTATTATTATTATTATTATTATTATTATTATTATTATTNTTGTTGTTGTTGTTGTTGTTGTTGTTG